CCCCAAAACCCCAAAACCCCAAAACCCCAAAACCCCTATTCATGTCGAATTTATTGAAATAACTACCAGATTTATGTAAAGTCGGGTTCTTTTTCCTCAGCATCGTCATTTCCTGCCAGATTGAGCCCATCACCAAGTCCTCCGAAGGTGTCTTTAACATGTACAAGGATCTGAGTCTCCTCTTTCTTGAGAGGAGTGATCCTATTGTACTCATGAAGAGTCTTTTGAAAGGAGTCTACATCGTTCATCTCCTTAGCAGTGAACAGGTTGGAGAGTAGTTCGCCTTCTCTGCTATTCGCAAAGGCTACATCTTCAAAACTAAAGTTTTGGTATCTGTTCCTGGCTCCGACAAGATCATCATTAGCCATATAGCAAAGTCATTCTTTCATGACTAAACCTTTTGCACTTGATTTGAGAATATCTTTCTTCATATATTCGTTGATAACTTTGTTGTAAGTCTGAATGGCTTTTTCAAAATTGACTTCCTTAAGCATGATCATTAAATCTGCTTCTTTTACATATCACTGGTTTGCAAAGGAGACACTGTCTTCCATTTCATATAGCTGAGCAGCTTTATCATATTCAATCACTGCTTGTTCATACTCGTATTGTTGTTCATAATTCTCAGCAACTTCTTTTCTTAATCTGGCAGCTTGGTTAATCCTTCCCTCTTCAGCGAGCATTGCGATTGCATCTTCAGCCATAGTGAGATATTCAGCATTGTTTACCTTTTTATAACAGCTAACTGAGTCAAGGATGTATTGTGCTGGGATTCCATCAGTTTCACGTTCACAGTCAGCACATTTCTTGTACATTTCACCTGCCTTCTGCCATTCCTGGGCAAGTTTGTAAGAATTAGCTGCTTTCTCGTAAAGGTCTCTGGCTTCATCGAGTCTATCTCCCTTACTTCCAAAGAGGTTCTTAAAGAAAGAGCCTTTGGCTTTTTTGTTAGCTTTGGATTCATTTTCCTGTGCAGCCCTCAAATAATTTGATCCTTCCATTTTTCCTAATAATTATTAATCAATTTTATTAGTGTCTGCAGGGGTTTTGGGGTTTTGGGGTTTTGGGGTTTTGGGGTTTTGGGG